TAATGACTTACCGGAATGCACTTGAATTATATGGGCCTGTAAGCTTTGCTTTCGCGGATAAACCTTGGAACAGGTCATACACTGGTACTCTTTCGAAGGGCGTGAACCTTGAAATGAGAGAGGAATCGGAACAACAGTATTGGTTGTGGTAAAAAGCATCAACTAACATTTTGGGAACAATAGCGCTTGAGGAATCGGATCACGGAGCGCGAACGTGTTCGATTCACGAGACCGAGTGAAATTATTATCCAATTACAAAAACTTGTTCGACACTCAACAGGAGAATAATGAGGATACATACATTTCAGTTCAGTTTCGACTGAGGTTTCAAAAATAACGAGAAGATGCATGAGCACCACTGTTTGCGACATCCAGCCATATTACTCAGTGTCTCGATCCATCGATGACCACCATCTCGGGGTCCCCAGCCAGGGAGCCGCACGGGACACTTGCGATCCAGTCCCCTGGTGAGGGTTTTCATATCCTCATGCCAGGTCTTAGTTTAACCGCCTTTGATCCTTTTCCAACCGCTACCTGCCTCGACAAACATCGCTCGACGTGGTAACCTATCTGGTGACATGCTGTAACATATGCGTAACCTATGAAGGTTGACTACTTGCTGCAGTGGACGACCGCGATAACCTAAAATTCTACCCTTAACTTCAGCATTGCTCGTCCGGTTATCCCACCAAACTCTTGTAATACGACATAGAAGCAGATACATTGCACATCGAGGATCTATGGTGCAGTTAACGTAACGATAAAACCCGAATCTTCCATCAAACTGAAAATGTTTTTTTGTGTGACGAACGGCAGACGGGGTGAACCCCATATTTGTGTAGACCGGCTATTAAGTGATGGAAATCCGGGACTTGGCATAAGACCCCAGTAGGATAGGCATGTTATTGAACCGGACAACAGTGAAGCTGTCTACCACCAAAGTTGTTGGGTGGCGATGGCGGGATTCGGAACTCCCAGCACAGGGTCTAAGGCAAGCCGGTGACAGCGACGAAACCACTGGACCGTTACCAACACTACCACCATTGCACGTGAACAGTAGGTATACCGTTATTATTTGGCAGCTAAAACTCGTCGATGCCGCAGCATTTTCTGCAGTTTAACGAACGAAAAACACAAGCAAACCCCGAAAAGGGCAAAACGGGATTGAACAACCACCTGCGATCGTAGGGCGTTCAGGGGACGTTTTTTCATTATTACTCACTTGATGAAGCCACTTGTGTTTGGGCCACAGTAGCTTGTGTCATGGGCAGTTGGGTGATCCCAAACGGAGATGTGATCAGACTGGTCGTCGTAGTGGACAGAGAGCTTTGGGTCATAAGGGTGGTGGGAACACCTGGCAGCACAGCAGCTGGATGGACAGCTGTCTGTTGTGGATTGGTGAAGGACGAAGGTTGTTGTGGTTGGAAGAAGAAAGTGGGCATCGGCATATTCATGCTAGGAGCGACCATCATGACTTGGGCCCCGGGAGGCATTGCATTCGCGCCACTGCCCGGAGTAGCGATAATGGTTCCCATGGCTGTAATACAAAAAAAAACATAGGAGAACAAAATTGCATCCAGACATTCCGGCCTATATCTATCTAGCGGCAAAACCAATCAGGCAAGCCATCCACTTGCTTTATTACTTCTCCAGTTAGAATGAAGCTCGGTGCTGGTCTACTAACTAAAAATGAAGATTTCAATCCCAAAACTGCTAAAGAAAGCTGTGAAAACCCGTTCTCTGATAACTAGAATACGTGCTAATGAGAGCACTGTAGAGTTACGATATATGTTTATTCGACGGAACACAACGGACGGGAACAACAAGAATTTAAATCTGTGTGTAGTGGATGTATGGAGTCGATAAGAATCTTATGTGCAAACTTCTCACATACATTCGCAAAGGTTAGTTGCCAACTTCTCCAGCGAATCAAACCACAAACACTATTTTGATAGACAAAAAATGCAGTATATGATGTCTATCACTTATCGTCTACTGTACTGCAGTTTTTATAGAAATCGATTTGTAGTGTAACCACTGGACCAATCTGAAGAAACACCAACCTAAAAATGCTGCTATTGTCTGCTGCATCCAATCAGTATAAAAACTCACGTAGGTTCATCGCCTGTCCTTGTGCCTGAGGCTGGAAGAATGCAAACTGTTGCTGCTGCGGCAACATGCTTGAATGGGGCTGTTGTTGCGCTTGCTGTTGGGCTTGCGCTTGTAGGGCCTGTTGAGTTTGTGGTTGTTGTTGTTGTTGCTGCTGCTGTTGTTGAGCTTGTTGCTGCTGCTGCAAGTGCTGTCCGGGATGTCCCTGTTGCTGCGCCTGCTGCGGTTGCTGCTGGCGAGATGTAACCGCATTGGCTGGGAAAGCAGATTCTGAGAAAACCAGAAAGGAACATGTGAAGTTACACCAAGTGGAAAACCTAAAATGCCCCATAGAACGCTGTAGGATGGAGCGCGTAGAAACCCATACCAGCCGCTGACTGTTGTGTGCATGCCACGTGACGTGAAGACCAATAATAAGTACTACGAAACACTAACATGAAATGTGCGACGTATGGCAATAGTGAAACGCCAATGTGCATATGACACAACTTGAGTACAGGTTACACTCTGGTGCTTTGGTTCTCTTTTGCAAGTTTCCGCCGCAAAAATCCGAGCAGTTCGCAAACATTTGCTGGTGCTAAAGCCCCGTAACCTCCCAATGTATCTTTTAGCACAATCAGCCATAAATACGGCGGATTCGACAGAGACCCAAAAAAACGGTTCAACATGACTTAGTTGTTCGCTCAGATGGATAATGGTTTTTTTGCAGTTCCGTGAACAATGCTTACTTTGCCGAATACGGCGCGCCGGTAAAATGTTTGTATACACTTATTCAGCAATGGTTCGAAAATTTTAATCAGAAAGTTAGGGCATCGAGTGTCAGTGTCTCAATTCTAATCTAATAATAATAATGATGGTCTTATAAGTTCGGTTCAATACCACACCCAGCCTAACGGAGCCTTATGTAGTTCACAACTCCAAGTCCCGGGGCTTAGGTTACCGGTTTCCATCACTGAACAGCAGGACCTCATGACTATGGGGTTTACCCCGTCTGCTGTTCATCACACGAAAGTGTGTGACAAAAAAATTCCCTGCACAACTCCTTGTACCATTGGTAAATCAAAGACTGCGATACTGAAACACCGGAAGGCTTGGGGCATGTATTGTACACGCAAAGGTCATAAAGGAGTAGAGCGACAAAAAAAACGCCGCCTCATCAAATTCAACACCCTCCAATGGGTGCCTTTCGACTACTTTATCAGCTTATTCCACGGGAGTTTTACGGTGTTTAGTGAGCAACTGTAACGATGACCGTTTCAGATAAGTCATTTATTTTAATCACGCATCGGTTTCCTGGTATCCTAGTAAACTCAACTTCCAGATCAGTGTTACCGCTTACGGTTAAGCCATAAGTTGACATGGTGGCAAAATGTGATGAGGTAACACGTCCTCGTTTGTGTAGGCAACGCCCAATGCGCTTCTAAGCGATCCGTTTCAACGGTTCTCATTGTGGCGGAGATGGAGGTATTTGCTTGCAATCATCTCACTTTCAGGTCCCTAATAAAAATCAAACAAACTTAAATTCTGCCTCAAGCTCGACTAGATCGTCAGGGCTTACCAGTGTAAAGATAATTGAAATTTTGTGAGGCAAAAGTATTAAAGGTGTGATACCTGTGAGTTTCTATGGTTATTTGTGTAGATCAAACACGGAAGATGAAAAACAACAGTTCCGCGATCACTTACTTTTATGAACCGACGCTACGTGTCGTTCAAAATACCATTTTTGTGGAAAACCTTTGTTACAAATGGGGCACATGTACGGTTTGGCCTCTGTAGAAAAAAGGTGGAAGGTGGGTAATAATCAATCACTGAGATTTAAGTCACTGATTCGTGAAAATGGGTACACCCAAAAGATCAAAAAGTGTAGTCCCATGCAAAGGCTTATGTCGTTCAACACTTATCCAACAAATAGACACATCTGAACGGTCAGTATCCAGACGCGGTAAGGTTTGATCACATCACTCCATCGGCCACATTAGTGTTCGCCCTTGGATGAATGACTGATTAGTCGAAACAATGGGAAGCACTGGCAATGAACATTTCGATTCGGTCGATGAAAGAGTAAAACTAGCTTCAACAGACAAGTGCTTTCTGTGTCAGATCTGATAGAAAACGGCTCGGTGTTTCTCCGGCCGCACCAGACAAATGCAATCTGTTTTTTTATCGATAAACAGAATAGTAGTCAAACCAAAGTAAGACAGAAAATCGACTATCAATGTCTTGCATCTGATACACAATTTCAGCGGAGTAATCAACATTCAAATCAGGTGTGCGTCTTCGGTCCGTTCGTCAACTGCTTAGATGTTGGATGCAACGCGGTATCTGGCTGACCACATCTACGCCGCATTGTACCGGTCTGGTTGGGCAACCGAGATGTTAAGACATCTTTTAATTTTTCTGGTAAGAAACTTGACGTAGAAATGAAATCAGTCTCAAAACAAAAACCCGAGCTTTCTCCGCAGCAGTTCGTTCTGGTTTTCTATGTGGTTGTGAAACCTGGCCACTTAGAGTTGACGACTATCAACGATTAGAAATCTTCGATCACTGGTACTTAAGGATCATTCTGGGAGTACGATGAAGGGATCAGATCTCAAATGAAGTAGTCCGAAATCGGTTTTAATTTGATGTAGATGCGAAGGCTAATACAACGGCGGCGACCGCAATGGTTTGGTCACATACTTCGTAAGTTTGATAACGACCTGACCAAAGTTGTCTTGGCACCGCCTCCCTGCCCGAAGTGGCACTGTCGACACGGTGAGCAGCTAAGAACGTGGCTAGACACGGTGCGAAAGGATACAGAAAACCTTGGCCTCCACTTTGTTTACGGCATTCGCCAATGTAAGTCAAGCTGGATCACAATGTGTGATGATCTTGCCACAGATTGTCGAATATGGGCAGCGGTAATTCAGGAAATTCATGAAACTGGCTTANTGGCTTATCCTCGCCCAAGAGCCAGCCGCCGTAAAGTAAAGTAAACTCGTAACCCGAAAATCTGATTTAAACGTTTTCCGATCACATTAGTTTTTAATCAAACAAAAACAAAAGTTTCAGTTTTCAGTTTGTATAACCATTAATCATGTACTTTCGTGAACCAGTTTTGGTTACTGTCTTTTGGCTGCCGATTAGGATGAACAGTAGGAGAAAGGCAGTTAAGTTTAAAGTAAAGTCGGAGAAAATGGAGAACTTCGATGGATTGCAGGTATTTTGAAAAAATGCACGAACGCCGATGTTCACCACACTCATTCATTTGGACAATGAGTAAGTATTGCACTCAATTACCAAACATAAGCCTCACATGTCAATTGGATCCTCGGCAAAAATTATTTATGCACGATGCGAATCGATGCCAGGGTGTATATTCATCGTCTCAACAAATGCACCGATCGACTGCAGCCCCGATGCACAAAAAGACAAACGGAACTTATTCATCTGTTTTGCACTGGCAGGTGATTTTCAAGCGCAAGTAGGAAAACTGAGCTCACTGGAAGCTCATCTACACAGCCGTTACCTCCTATCCTGACAGATAACCGCAATCAACTTTTTTAGTTCTACGCAGACCATAGTTTGTTCCTGCTAAATGCCAACTCCCGACAGACATCGTGGCCCTCCAATTCCACGGGTAAGTTGACTCTAACTGAAGGCAAGGCCTGGTGCGAAATTGCAGGTCCTATTTTACTATCTGTGTTAAGTCCGTTCATGCATTGTCTTTGATGCAATTTGCGTCGGCTAACTCCCCATCACCAACTAGACCCGCAAACTCCGCTAACCCGTCACTGGTCATCTGATTCAGCCGTTCATACCTCCCTATGATATAGAATTAAGACATGAGCTAAGAGCTCTGCCACGAGCGAGGTGGATGACCAGTGTGGGGTATGCGATAGTAGCACTTGAGTGGGTAGAGAGTCGTGTCCCTTTGGGGACATTCGCCTCCTCTTTGATCATCATGGACTCAACTCTTCTCTGTGGCTTCACGAAGCGGAGACATGCATCGGTAGCCTCATCCCGACAAACCGGTCGACAAGCGGGCTAAAAACAGGTTGAAGGTAACTGAGGTATGAAAGTCTTGATCAGACGGCGCATACGCGAAGACAGCTACCCTGAGTGGGCGGACGCGATCTATTAACTGATCCAATAGCTATGGAGGAAGCCTGTTCTGCTAATAGGAATGCATGCACCGCTCGGTAGCGAGCTCTTGAGGAGCCAACGGCAACCATGCACCAACACATTACTGACTTGTGATTTACACTTGAATGTACCAAGGCCAGAGGTGTGACCTCAGAACAAAACACTGAGTGATTCTGGGGGCATTTCTCGTAACAAACTCCCATGAAACTCCATGATCATGAAATCGGCTTCTACACCCCAAGAAGCCAACCAAAGCTGAAACAATGAGCAGTGGGATCGAACGAGACATCCTCGAATTGCGTCATACATACTATCGGTCAACGAGAGCAATATTTCTTGATCTGAAAGGCGCTTTGACCCAGTCGACCACAAGCCTCTGCTTTGCTTCCCTCTTAGCAAACGAATGTCTCACAAGTTCTAATGGATGGGATCACACGAACAAGCAGTTGGCGTTTTTGTAGCGAGATCATCGGAAACGTACCTGATCTGAATTCGAGTTTCGCGTCAGGAAATACGGCTGTAGTTGCTACAAAAGTTCCCGTGGTGCTCGTTGATTCCCATCTNCTAAATACGAATACACTTGGTTACCCATCGAAGGCCAAAGGGTCCTGGCGAAAAACTATCACCATAGCCCAATAAAACTGATTGACTGTGGTAAAAATTATCCGAATAGGGCTTGGTACAGTGCACCGGATTAAGCGTAAAGTCACAGTTCAATCAAATTAAGCCAATTCGCTCTACCACCAGGACTTATTGCATGCTACAATGAACTAGCCCAACTTGTTTGACAGATAGTTCGATTACGCAATCAATCGGGTAACACCTGTGTCTGGTGGTGGGTAATCGCACTTGAGAAAGGGCAGGGCAGGTCATTTCATTGATCAGTCTGTTGGTGTGTTCATGAGCGTGTGCTTATGTGTGCGTTAACCACACAACAGTCGATTACCAAATAGACTGTTGTGATTTCAGACCTTGACCATAAGCGAATCAGTATACGGTTCTGTAACGGTAACCCGCGTTCAGTATTGATTAACTACACTCACTTGACTGTCCCCAGAACATTTGTGATGCAGACAGTACATGTACGCGCACAAAATGGAGGGAGGCTGCGTGTGTGGAGAGGGTTGTGCACCATAGTTTGGTTCAAGCCACACAGCAACATTCATTAATGATCTACAATTTTTTTTCCCACTGACCGTGTCTGCAGTAGTGAAACTGAGAATTCAACTAGGGCCGTCCGAGGAGAATACGACTACGGTAGGGTCTCACAGATGCTGATGTACCAGTATATATTGCTGCCGCGCGTGCGTAAACATTCACCATAAAAAATATACCCCAGTGGCCGAACTTTAATTCATTTGGACAAAGTGTGCTACTAACCTCTTCGGCTTCATTTTGGTTTTACACAAACATCAATTACTAAGTGACAGACCATATGCTCGAAACGTCTATTGTGATAGCCATGGAACAGAAACCAGCCTGTGAGAGTTGTTTGAACGGATCATCTCCGATAAACTTCTTCATTTCTTGGTTGAATATGGCAGTGCACTGGATAAAACCGTGCACTTGAGTGCGTTCAAAAGCAAGTGGTATATCAATACCGGCACAGGCATCGTTTGCACTGTAACACCAAAAAATGCAAGTGTATGACTGATATCATGAAGGTAGTCGCGAATAAACAGGAATGTAGAAGGGAGGAGGAGGAAGAGAGTTGCATACAAACGCACCTTTGTGTACTGAGTTTGCGTGTCGTAACAGATCACACTTCCGAGCAAATTCTTTCAAGCACGTGTCGCACTGGTAAGGCCGTAAACCTATAACAAGAAGTATAGTTGAATAATCAGTGACCAGTTGCACGGAAAACCACCGTGTGTAACGGAAGACATGAACCCGGTGATTCCGATCACGAAACACGATCGGATAGGAGCCGTACAACAAGGAACAGGATGAGACAATACTGTACTGTTTGTCATATAAAAGGGTACAACGAGTCCATCAAAACGCTGGCTTCCGTATCAATCAAAAATCTTAAAAGAAGTTTATCTCTTCTCGGGTACATGAGTCCACCTCATTAGTCACGATTTCGTCGCACTATAATGCACCAAGTGATTTGTGCCCGGTCATTAGGTGAACAACGAATAGACATTGGTCTGTTATTGGTCTAATTTTCTACGGAAGCAGACAATCTCTAGTACAGTTCAACCAAAGTCAAAGGTGTAACGCACGTAGTGCGAATCTGAAGGAGGCTAGCCCGACCACCACCGGACGAGCACAACCGGTTCAGTGCGGAAATGGACGATAGAAATCAACGATTACCTTGCTTGTTTGGGCGTATGATCCCATGAACTGGACAATGGGTCCGCAATGGACTGTGAACTGAGTTCTGTCCAGGTTTGGATTTCTCTAGCCAAATACTTCAGCTGCGGGTTCCCGAGGTTATTACCCCTTTCTCGGTCAGGCCAACCCGGAAGTAACATGCCCACACAACCTATGCATACATTCTACAAGTTTTCCCTCCCCATATGTTGTGGCACATTTGCCAGTTCTGTATGAATACCACGGGATATTAAATGGTTGGTAAAATCGTATTAATCGAAACCAGCTAAATTTTCTGACGGGCAGCAAACCTAAGTCGAACAGAGTGAACTCCAAACATCACATGATACTTATTGTACACAAAATCATCAGATTAATTCAAAGTGCATGCCCAATTTTGACAAGATCAACAGAACTATTATGGAGGAACGATAGAGAAGAGAAACTCGATTCGGGAAATGTTGCGGTTATTATCAGTCTTTGTGCGAAGTATTAAATAGCATTGACTAATAACACAAAGGGAGAAACGGAGGGAACTCAAACCAACGAATACTACCAATAGGGTGGTAAAATTTGAAAGTGCAATGCAAACACATACC